ACAAAACGAGTTGGTGTTTTTTCAATGTATGCTTCAGACACGGGTCACGACGAGGCGTCCCCATAGCGACCCCTAGAGAACGCAGTTCGAAGTTCCCATGAAAGGGAATCATTGTTAATTTTCGTAAGGGTTGTGTTGTTGTCTGCCCTAGCTTCCCCTAAACCTATTATAAAATATGATTATTTGTCTGCTAAACTACTACTGTAACATTACAATAGATAATAATGTCCTTTATAAAGTATTTTGAGTGATGACTGCTGAACAATGGGCTGCTGCTGCTTAACTAAGTGTACTGACTTTTGATTTATTCGTCCAAAATGTGGCATATTCCGTCCGCGTTAGGCTATAGGAATTCCGTTTTTATGACTGGATTCTACGAACCAGTCTGCGTTTTCCGCATCTCGGAAATTATAGGGCCATATGTCTCAGAGTAGTCAGTGCAATTTGGGAAAGAAATCAATTAAATCTGTATGTGGATGTGTGTAAATATTCAAATGTAATCCCCTTTGTAATCTTTAACATTTTCATAAGTAACTGTAATTTAATTACACATTTTTTCTTAGTAACTGTAACTGATTACAGTTACATTTATTTTGTAATTAAATTACGTAACGCCGTTACATGTAACTAGTTACTCCTATGTTACAGCTCCCCTTTGAAGCTTTTGTGTTTTTCTCCTTTTCCATCTCTCCAATCCTATTCTGCTCATAGGTGATTGGAGATGAGTTTTGTTCCCACTTTGTTGCAGTTTGCTGATTTTAGGTTCTGTTTTTGCTTTTCAGATAAAAGAGTGGTTTCAGTTTAATATGTTGCAGGCTCATTTATTGGTAATAAATAATTGATAATAAATCATATTGATGATAATAAATCATCAAAAAAATATTGGGCTTGTTTTGGGCTTGTTTTTGAAGCTGCTGTTGCTTATTTATCTTGTGAGAGTTGGCAACAGTGGTTAGTTTAGTTTATCTCTACTGGTTATCTGGACTCACAGTCATGCTGATGAGTGGAAATGAAGAGATCTTCAGTAAAACTGTTGGTTTCAGTAGATGCTGTTGACTCTGATGACAGTCTAAACTATTTACTAAAATACCATAGTGACTCCCTGCTGTAAATCAAAATAAATTGATATGGAATCTTGTTCAAACAGTGTAAGAAGCTTACTCTATAATTTAGTTGAGTTTGTCCATTCTCAGCAACCAATTATTGTTTCGTAATTAAAGTGCAGGGGCAAGTTGTAGGCCTAAGCATTAATCATTAGTGAAAGAAACATTCTAGGCTATATAGTAGGCTTTTTCAAACAAATTTTATAAAAATCCAAAACGCCACATTTACATTTATTGTAAGTCATTAAAATGAATGTAGGATTTGCACTGCTGTTTGGCATATAGCCTACCATGATACAGCACTCTAAAAATGCTGGGTTGTTTTGGGTCAAATATGGACTAACCCAGCTGTTGAGTTAATTTTTTTTAATTAGCCTAAATTTAATTTAATTTAATTTAATTTTTAACCCAAAAGTTGGGTTAGTCCATATTTGACCCAAATTTAGAGAAGGGTCTGGCTGCAGACTTGCAACTGCACTCTCAGACTTGCATTCTCAGACTTGCACTCTCAGACACTTGCGCTTCCGCTAAAGACGTCTCTTGTAGTCTTTACAGGGTCCTGCAAGAAAAAGACAAGACCCGCAAATCCGTGGCTACAGAACAGCAGAATATGAACGCAATGCACAGAGTCTCTCGTTAACCGTTTTCCTCCTGTAGAAAAACATAAACACTTAATATGGCTTAATGTATTAAGATACATTAACTGCAATTAAAAGATCATTCGATATATAGTTATTATTTAATGTACTACAAGGCAAGCAGATGGGAGATCTCGCGAGAGGTCACGAAAACCTTTCCAATGTAAGTTAAATATTAATATAATAATTAGATATTACATATAATTTGGTAGTAAAACAAAATGCTACACGTTTTATTGGTGCAAAGGTGAGTATATTTATTTTGTACATCATTTGCAACTGCTTTTTATCACTTAATTAGAAGCACCAGAAATTAAATTGTGTCATCTCTGTTATAGGGACTACTGAACAGACATTTAGAAGTTTATTTTAAAATGCAAAGTATTGAAAATAAAAATAACACTTTGTAAACACTTGCATTTTTACAACACTATAAGTGTGTCCCATCAGGTAATGACAAGTTGTACACACACTTGTGGTCTTCATGCTCACTTGAACACTTGGACCAAATACAGGAAATACGTCATATAAGTAGTCAAGTGATCAAGTGCAAAGACCACAAGTGTGGGTATTTGGACAAGGCATGGGGGTGCAAGCGCAAGTCTGCAGCCAGACCCTTTTGGCAAATTTAGGTTGAAACAACCCAGCATTTTTAGAGTGAGTCATTTATGGAACTGTGCAAGCTATGAAAATCTGATACCATCACTGTACCATGGAACTACCACAACATACAGCGGAATTCACATCACTTGCGGTAGAAGCTGCGGGGGGGGCGGAACGGACATGTACGCGGGTTCGATGACTTCATGGACGCGGGGGGAGTAAATGGAAGTGTTAACGGTCTCTTCATACGCCAGCGCCGCTCAAGGGTATTGCCTCCCTGCTTTTCAAAGACTTCGGTAAGTGTGGATGAGTTTTTACCTTTTAGAAATCATCAAGATCTCTGTAAGACTGTTCATGACCTGTGACGCGAGCTGTTGTCTTAAAGTTGTAAGATAATCTCACTCAGCTAGTTTTACATGTGATTGGATGTTTTTATTAATATTATTATTGGGCAGGGTGTTACTTAGTGCTGATAGTGTAATTGGTAGTTTAACGTTCTTTTGTGCTTTTGCATAACGATGGTATATCTGAATGATGGCAATGGTAGACAACTAACTTAGATATTTACTTTTATAAACATTACGATTTTAGTTTCAAATGTGTATTTACATGTCTAAACACATACAGTGTGTTAACTGTAACTGTTTAGATGTTGTAACTGACACTATTTATTTTTCATATTATTATTGCTGTTAATTATTAGTAGCCTCTATCTCTCTCTCTCTCTCTCTCTCTATATATATATATATATAGCAGTTAAATTAAATAATGTTTGTGACAAAATGTATTAAAGTACAAATATTCCATGTAACTTAGTCAGTCAATTGTTAAGTATGAAGTCAGTTCTCCTCAAGTTGTTTTAACAGGGGAAACTGGTGTAATCACAACCATTAACCACAAACAAACACAAATTATTAGGTTATTTAAATTAAACTGAAAATTATGTCATTATTTACACATTTCTCCCAAAATAGGTGTTTTGAAGAATGTGTATGCATATTTAAATTTCTTAAAAACATATATTGTTTTCCATGGACTGAAAAAAAAAACACAGGTTTTGAACCAGTGAGTAAATAATGACAGAATTTTCACATTTTGGGTTTATATTTAATATTATATTTATATTTAATATTTGCTTAATTTTAGACATTATATTTATTTCTTCCTAAAACCCTAAGAACTTTTTTTGTAATTAAAAAAGTTTTACTTCATAAAGAATATGTTAGCTGTAGTTAATATCAGCTCACAAAACCTGAAAAGGAGAAATGCAAGTACAGTGACAAATAAAAAGGACAGCGTTTTATAAATTGTAATACTGTCTGCAGACATCCGACCAAAATAGAAGTTGTACTTTTCTTTCCTGGTCTGTACCATGTTTATCAACATCTAAATGGGGTTAATGTTTTTTTTTCAAAGCTATTTATTTTCTCTCTTTCAGAATTCATTGCTATATGTGGCCCACCGAATTGTATGTCCTGTTCTATCAACACTTAAAAAATGGCATCAACAATGGAAGCAGCAGATATCGTTGTTGTTGCCATGTACTTCATTCTTGTCTTGTGCTTTGGCTTTTTTGCAATGTGGAAGGCGAATCGAGGTACTGTGAGCGGATACTTCCTGGCCGGTCGTTCAATGAACTGGATGGTGATCGGTGCATCGCTGTTCGTGAGTAACATCGGCAGCGAGCACTTCATCGGCCTCGCTGGCTCAGGTGCAGCAAGCGGTTTCGCCGTAGGTGCATGGGAGTTCAATGCAATTCTACTGCTGCAGCTCCTGGGCTGGGTCTTCATACCTGTTTACATCCACTCAGGTGTGTACACCATGCCAGAGTACCTCTATAAAAGATTCGGTGGTAAGCGGCTGAAGGTTTTCTTCGCATCCCTAACTCTGCTCCTCTACATTTTCACCAAGCTCTCAGTGGATCTTTATTCCGGAGCACTCTTTATCCAGGAATCTCTGGGCTGGAACCTGTACGTATCCATAATCTTGCTCATCGCCATGACTGCCCTTCTCACAGTCACAGGCGGCCTGGTGGCGGTCATTTACACAGACACTCTGCAGGCATTCCTCATGATATCGGGAGCACTGTGCCTGATGGCTATCAGTTTAGTCAAGGTAGGAGGTCTTGAGGGTTTGCGCACCAAGTACATGAATGCCTTTCCCAACATCACTGCTATTGAGCTAGAGAATAACATCACATACTCAAATTCCTGCCATGTGCATCCTAAGCAAGATTCATTCAAGATCTTAAGAGGTCCGTTGGACAAAGACCTGCCGTGGCCTGCTTTTCTTCTAGGCCAGACTCCAGCCTCGATCTGGTACTGGTGCGCTGATCAGGTCATAGTCCAGAGAGTCCTGGCAGCCCGAAATATTGCTCACGCCAAAGGGTCAACCCTGATGGCGGGCTTCCTAAAAGTCTTACCAATGTTTATCATTGTGATTCCAGGAATGATTTCGCGTGTGCTCTTTGTTGATGAACTTGCTTGCATTAGTCCAGAGCACTGCATGCAAGTCTGCAACAGCAAAGCTGGTTGCACTAACATCGCCTATCCTCGCCTCGTCATGAACGTCATGCCTGTAGGTCTACGAGGGCTGATGATGGCGGTGATGCTCGCTGCTCTCATGAGCGACCTAGACTCAATCTTTAACAGTGCCAGTACTATCTTCACCCTTGATATCTATAAGATGATACGTTACCAGGCTTCCTCCAAAGAGCTCATGGTGGTGGGACGCATGTTTGTGATCCTCATAGTGGCCATTAGCATAGCTTGGGTGCCATTCGTCGTTGAGATGCAAGGTGGTCAGATGTTCCTCTATATTCAGGAGGTGTCTGATTACCTTACGCCACCCATTGCTGCACTGTTCCTGCTTGGCATTCTCTGGAAACGTTGCAATGAGACCGGTGCATTCTGGGGTGGCATTGTGGGCTTCTTGCTAGGAGCCGTAAGACTCATTCTTGCCTTTGTTTATAGAGAGCCGGACTGTGACACAACTGATGACCGCCCTGCTTTCATCAAGGATGTTCATTTCATGTATGTGGCGGCTGTGTTGTTTTGGGTTTCAGGGCTTGTGACTGTAGTCGTCAGTCTTTGCACAGATCCACCAAGCAAAGAACAGATTGCTATGACTACTTTGTGGGGACTGCGCAACAGGAATCAACCCGAGAACAACAAAATTCATCAGCTTTCTGTAAAAACAAAAAAAGAGAAGTCAGTGGATGAAGTGGAAATTAAACCATCATCTCAGGTTATTCAAACAGGGCCTGAAATACCTCCAAATGGCCACTTGGAGTCTCAACATACCCACAAACACCAGGGCATTGATCATGTAGGCAGTGATAAGAGACAGTGCGTGAAATGTTTTGAGTGGTTTTGTGGTTATAATAAAAATTCTGAGGAAGAGGAACCAGATTCACCTTTTGGAGATGACAACGGGAATGTTACTGAAATGCTCAAAGAACCTCCAAAAACCAAAATTATCCTCAACCTCGGTCTCTTGTTAGTGTGCACACTTGGAATTTTCTTGTTTGTGTACTTCTCTTTGTAATACTCCTGATTTTATCTATCAAAACAAGTTTACATATAGCAAACATGTTATATTGATATTCTTATACATTATACATATTATATATCTAAGGTGTAATTATGGTTGTAATTTATATTTTTAATAGTGTTTTGTACTATAGTATTGTATAATGTACAACTCACATTGTAATGCCAAGTATACTGTATTACTGATACTCTTTAGTGCTGGTTGCCAGTGCGCTGCTAATACTGTACAATAACATGTCAGACATTCACATTATGAAATGAGTTGACATTGCATGTGACATTTGAAAGGCAAATATCTAAAGATAAGAAACATCTTCAAAAGTTCAAATATGTCAAATCTAATTTTAGCAGTTTTTTAAAGAATTTAAGGTTGTTGTTTTTTTATTGTAAACTTCCGTGACACCTCTACATTTAGTGTTCATCATCAATCGACAGTATTTTTGGCATAATGTTGATTACCACAACATTTAATTTCCACTTTTTCTTTTTTCTTACTGTTAAGTACCTTCTTTTCTTGAAAAATCTTGATTATGTTGGACCATTTAACAGAATGGAAGTGAATGGGGCCTCAAGATGTGCGTGCTAAAATATTTGGGTAAAAAAAAAATTATGATTTCAACAGCTTTACAGAATAATTTTCATGTTTCTGCCTAAATTTTCCAAAACGTTTGCCACATTAACTTCCATTTTAAGTACGTCAGTGTAACCGTGATTTTTGCTTTTGTTTCAGTTTTGTTTTTGTAGAAAAATAAATACAAGAACAAGGGACGAGTTGATTGTTTTTTTTGTTTGTTTTTTGTGGTAAACAACATTTTATCAAATGCTGTTGATTGCGCTTGCACTGAACCTAAAAAAAGGTTTTGCTTATTTGCTTATATTTTTTGTCTTATTGTGCATTTGTAACTCCATTAGAGTAATGCTGGTTAAATTCAACAGTCTGTGAACTGTCAGTGTGTTTAAGTCAGTCTCACCACTGAAAACATGTCTACCTACTGCTGACCTCATTAAAAAACCCATAGGACTTTTTTGGGTTGGTTTACTAATATGTGTTTGTCATTGAGGTCGCTGGAATTATGTGGGCTAATTAAAACCTCTTGTCCAAATAATAAAAAAAAAATCAAATATTTAACTCTCTAACCTGAAAATGTACACATACACCCGTCCATGTTAGCATAGCAACTGAAAAAAAATAATTTTGGCGTCTCGAGTCTCTTGCGCTTTTGTATTTCCTTGGCTTGTGTTCTTCAAAGCTGGTTAGTTTTTAGCAGTAAGATGGTGGATATTTCTGTATTCAGGCCTTTGTGGTTTTCTTTCTTTGGAACCTCACCTATGTAGATTTGTGGTTTGTATGCGGCAGTCGCGTAGCTACGAGTGGGCCCGGGCCCACCCATCTGTCAGTCAGGCCCATCCAGTCAGTTGCCTCACAAGGTAGTCTAATGAGTGAATTCTGTTGAAATGATCACAATACTTGACATATAAAAATAAGGTTTATTGTCTCTTTATTCCTGTTTGCCATATAATTATTAAGAAATGTTAGTTTTGTGTGTGCCCACAGGCATAGGATATGAGGGGGATGTCCCACTTCAGTCCTATAAAAACAACTAGAATGTGTAGTGTACATTTCGTGTACAGATAATTTTGTTTTGACGTCTAGGGGACTGAGAAAACTTAAAAAGGGAGTTGTTCCCTCTCTTTTTGCATGGAACCACTATACTACTATACCACTATATGAATGTTTGGGATCATTGACCAAGATGCCCCGTCCCAGAGACGTCTCTGCCTGACTCTGAGATGTCACAATAAATAAGTAAGTAATGGATGTATTTAATAGTGACAGTGAATAAAAAAATATACTGTTGTACATGGACTCAGGTCACTTATTTGGAATTTATTCAATTCAATGGCATTCATGTAAAATATTCAAAGGTTTTGTAAAATAAATAGTGCAAAATAAATTACAGTAAAATTACTGTAATAGTATACTGTAAAGCTAAGTTACAGTAAGGATATAGTACTGTAAAATTAAGTTGCAGTAAGGGTATTTCACTGTAAATTTAAATTGCGGTAAGGCCATCATACTGTAAAAGGAGATTGCGGTAAGGGCATTATACTGTAAAATGAACTTGCGATAAGCTACTGTAAAGGGGTAGTTACAGTAACTTACTGGCAATAGTGCTGCCAGTAATTTACCACAAAAATACGATAAAAAGTCTTAACAGTGCTACTATACCACTATATGAATGTTTGGGATCGTTGACCAACATGCCCCGTCCCAGAGACGTCTCTGTCTGACTCTGAGATGAGTGAATGACAGACGGCACCTGATCATGACTACCCTGTCACTCCAGCAACATCAGTAATGGCAGGTGAAATGGCAATGAGTTATGACTAATTGAAGAAGAAAGTGGAAGAACTACAACATCAGTTGGAATCTGTACAGTTACAGTCCCGTTTTGGTCTGCAACGCATCGCTGGATCAGACAAGAATATTCGTTTTTACACCAGGTTGGTTCCTTATGTTAGAATAGCATAACATTCACATGTTTTCTCTATATATATATATTTATATCTATATATTCAGACGTGCTGATATCGCCGCTTGCTTGGCCATTTGTTGCGGAGAAAATAAGGAAAGTGTGTCCAGCTGAATACATTTAGTATTTTGTTAGACGGGTATAAAAAAGCTTAGTTTACCGCAGCAGCGGTCGCGGCAGCCGTGGCATGAAGGCCTCCTCGTGTGCAGACCGAAAAGTGTAAACACCATCGACTCTACCGTGCAGGGACATCGGCAAGGGATAAGTGTCGCTTTTTATTTCTCCTCTTTCCTATTACTTGTTTCGCTTCTTTTTCATTTTTTTATAACCATTTCTTACTATGTGTAAGTAAGTTGTTGAAACACACAGCTCTTCACGACATGCCGGCGGCAACAATACAGCGAGAATAAAAGTTACGCCTTCTTTCTTTGCGTGAACATTTGGGCGGCGTTATGCATATCTTCCCACATAGTGACGTAGATATGTGGGGGCGTGTTAGAACGAGCCGTTTTAGGTAGGTGTGGCTGACTCTTAACTTTTATAAAGAATATCTCTTTGGATTTGAGACTTTAGTCTTTGCAACTTTACAGACCTTCTTTATGAACTAAGAGATTGTAACACTTCAAAGAGAAAGGAAAAATTGAAATCGCATCATATGACCCCTTTAATCTACTATTAGCCTAACCGTTATCTCTATTTCTCTCTGCACGCACGCTCACTCACTCTCTGTCATACACAATACTCTCTCATACACAAACAATAAAAATAAAATATTTAACAAAATAAGGAATAAACATGTATTATTATTTTCTTATTACAATTAACCTTATAATAATTCTATTTTTAGGGTTGCCTCTTACAAGCATTTATTGGCTTTTTGGATACTGGTGGAGCCTGCTGCAAAAAGTAGGATGGTGCGAAGTTTGCCTCTGACAGTGGTATAAATAGCGATAAAATAGTGGGTAATAATTTACAGTACGTTTTGATGTTATAGTGTTGTGTAGTTGTGAAATCACAAATGAATCTGAATCTAAACTTTATTTATTAATTTTCACAGATACTTGCACCGATAGACGAGCTGCTGCTGTTTCTGATGCACTTGTCTGTGGGTCTGCCTCTCAGGGATCTAGCCAGGCACTTTAGTATTCATAACACCACAGCTAGCCGAATCACTGTGACATAGACACACTTTCTGTACAATCTGCTTGGCTCCATTTGCTTATGGATACCAAAAGAAGAAGTCAGAGCTCTCTTACCACCAGAGTTTGCAGCCTTCCCTGACAATCAAGTGGTGCTGGACTGCCCTGAATTGTACTGCCAAACACCCTCCTCTCTACTACTTCAGAGTGAGGTGTACTCTAATTACAAACCGCACAGTACATTGAAGGCCATGATTGGCATTGCACATTGGTGCATGCCATTACTTTTGTTTCTGTGCTGTAAGAGTGACCGGAAGATTTTCAAACTTTCTGGAATTATTAAATGCCTCACACCAGACATGGCCATTATGGTTGACATGGGCTTTTTGGTGGATTACCTTGTCCCTTGTCAGGTTTACCGACCTGCTTATCAGTCAGGCAGGATGTCCAGCAGACACAATCCATTACCAGACTGAGGGTACGTGTTGAGAGGTGTATCCAGAGGGTGAAGGAGAACAAACTGTTTGACAAACCCATTCCGTTGTCAGTGTGCGGCAGCATTGACCAGCTGTTTAGTGTTGTTTGCTTTCTGGTCAACTACCAGAATGGACCGCTGGTGAAGTCATGGGCAGTTAAATGCTGAATATAATAAGAAAAGTTAATGCCAGTGTTAAATGGATAAGTATGCCCCTTTTCACCGGTTCTGTGATTAGTAGTAAATCTCCAGCACGTGCTTTCAGATGGAGCAGCATTTACTACACAGAGCCGTAGTTCACTGACAAGCTATGCTAAATCGCGTTCATAATCACAGACGATTTAATTGTGCGATTATGAAATCGAAGAAATTGTTCTATGATTATGAAAGCTGTTTGCATAGCTTGTCAGTGAACTACGACTCTGTGTAGTAAATGCTGCTCCATGAGATGATGTGGCTTCTTACACAGAATAAGGCACGCAACATATTTCATAGTATTCTAAGCAGTGATAAAGGCTATGTCGATTAGCATTGCATTATTATATACTTTATTACAATAAAAAATTATAATAAGACAAACTCCGATAAACCATATATTGTCATAGTCTTGTTTATTAGTCACGTTGAATAAATGAAAGCAGTTAAATCTCCTGTTTATTCAGCAACCACTATAGGCATTTCCTGGGTTTCTTCTGTGAGGCGTATTTGGAGTTTCCTTTGAATTGAGATTTACTGCTGATCACAGAACTGTGCTTCACTGAAAGATACACATGACAATCGCAGCTTCTGCCTAATCGCGATTTATTACCTTTGCAATTTAATTTCGATTAATCGTGCCGCCCTAATC